AAAGCTGTAATAGATTCAATTATGCTCAGATTTTGGATATGAAAATTAGTGTTTGTATATTAATGTATTGACATCCATTACCCTGCAGTAAATAAAAAAATTAAAGCGGATTGGTCTACAATGGACACATATTCGATAAATAGTCCAAATATTGATTAAAAAACAAAACAATATAAATATATCATTTGGATATTCTTATAAAATGTTGTTTAGAAATTGTTTAAGTTCTAAGTAATTTAGAATGAAAATTTATATCATGAATAATAATATTTTGTTCTTTAATGTGAAAATATGTCATAACGGAGCATTTATCTTACACTTGCCAAAAACTTTCGTGTATAGCTAATACAAAATGTTTTCAATGTTATTATTCATTGTATTACAGACCTTCCATTATTGACCAATTCATTGTAACCAAACTAAAATTTATTTTATATACAATTCTTTATAACAAATCGACGTTCTGTTTGAATGTTTCCACTCCTTTCATGTGTTTGTAACAAAGACTAATGACAAAATCTATGTGAACGCTACATCTTGTGATAACTATATTAATTTTGATAAGTATCTAAACTTACAAACCTTATCAAAAATAAATTGTTTAAGTCAAAACATTTTGGATTTGAGTTTTGCTTCTTAATTATATGTTGTTGGTTTTTATGTGCCCATCGAGAGTTTAGCTTTTCGAATAAAAATCACAAGTGAAACCAAATTTTGTTGATAAAACATGTCATTTGTATAGTACTTGCATGAATCCTTCACTACTATGAAGAAAAACATTTTATTACCTTTTCTTTGCTGTTATGTTTTGATAATATTCCTCATTTGCAGACTATCAAGAATTCAACATTTAAAGATGTTATTCCAGAATTTTCAGACCAAAATTCTACTTAATAGATTGGCAATTTTGTTTTCTGACATTTTGTGCTCATTTTTCTTTATGAAATATAATAGATACAAAAAGAAAAAGATTTCATCTTATCTAAAAATGCTCTTATACCACATTAAAGTGTTTTTTATTTAATTTCTAAGAATTTAACAATAATTGGAATGTATGACATACTTATTTCACCTGTATTGCTGCTGATAGCAGTATTATAATAGATATATTTGAAAACTATCTATCTATGATGAACATAAAAATCTATAAATGATATATCTATAAATATGTTAAGTGTATATCCACGTGACCTTTCCAACGAACGCATGCTTGAATAACTGCCAGATTCCTTCTTGAGTTCTCACTTCAAAGACTGTTGTTTTATTTCTAGTGATTAAAGTTTTCAAACATTTAATGGACCAAACTCTCTTATAATTTTTCTGTTAAAGTTTTTGTTTTCAACAATTTGTATGAAATTATCTAGCATTAGTTTGCTTTTTATCTACCAAAGAGTAAAAAGTCCAGCTCAAAAGAGTCGAAATAAGTTTCGGATGATTGTTTTTTTCTTTACTTACCGATATATTATAAGAGGTTACATAAAATGCTCTAGCATGATCACCATTAAAGTGGCATTATGTTAGATTAATTAACTGTCAAGTTATATGACTTAGCTATATATTTCAAAAAAATGACTGTTATCAAGGCGATTGATCAATAGTTTATAATGAAAAATGTTAATGATTCAATATGAAAACAAGCTAAATTATAAAAAGACGGTCCTAGTCTTTTTAAGAATTGAACGTAACCGATACATTTTCACAATATTAAAATTTCAGTTATGTTACTCATATGAATTAATGATTTTTTTCATACTGAAATATAAAATTGAACACAATTATGGCAAATCTGTCAGGCTATATTGAATTTACCATTAGCCATTTACACTTGGATTGGCACTTTAATAAAACACGCACGAATTTTGTTTTCATGGCAAAAATAAGCATAAATTAATTTGCGAAATACACATCAATATTTAACCAAAAAATGCTTGTTCATACATTAAAGAATATTTTACCACTGTGCAAGATTGGAATGGGACGACAATATACACACGAAGAATGCCAATGTCGAAATATATAAAAGATGTTATAATTTAAATAATAATTTAATTAGGGATGTGATTAGTGCAGTTAATATCAAATGCATTTCTCACTTTATATAATTATGTGTTACTGTAATGCATAAACGTTTGATTTTTCGGTGTATGTTGCTAATTATGTTATTGAAAACACTAAATGTGATTAACTGTACAAACTGTTGTTTGGAATACATTGCCAAAGGCTAAATGTTGCATTCAAACATATTCATCGTGGTGTAAAGTCGGTTTTTAGTGATTTAATTGATTAACACCTGAGATTGATAGAGATTGCTGGCTGACATTTAGTTTTGCTGGCTTAACGTCAAGGATGCAAATTGTTCCTGAAATAAACTGACAGCCATATATCATTTTGACATGCTCATTCATTCCAGATGTATTACATTGCCTTCAGTTTGAATTTGCATTAGTATTTTCTCAAAATTAGTGCGTTTTCTATGTGACTAGCAGCGTTATGTATATTGTTGTATAATAATTATAATATCATAATTCCTTCTGCACAGATATGTTTGAATAAACATGATCAAACGTTATTCAACCTAAACAAAACTGCATTGATTGTAATCGATTTGATAGATATACGTTTTGATGAATTCATTTTTGACAGTTATTAGATATCATACATGCAATGTGTTCTTTGATATATCTAGCGATATGAATGGACAAGATACCCAAAATTACTTCAAACATGTTTTTACAGCTATTAAATATGCATAAAAGCGTCTGATTTATGTCAAAGGTGAATTATTATATAGAATAGAGAGAAATATAATCTCCAAAACGGCAAATTAGAAAATGTGCTGGCTCGGTTTGATACAGCCTGTTCATAGATGGTACTGTGCAAGTGCAAATTACCGTCCACGCCTCCTGGCACAATAGAAAGAACAAAAAGGAAAAAAATATGTTAACCTGAAACTACAGATTTGTTTTAAGTAACTCAAATAATTTTTAATAAATTATGGTGAAGCAAACCGCTTCAAAACGTTAAATCGTTAAAGCTGGTAACCACTCCACTTGAAATTTAACCTGTAATATTAATATCCAACATTTTGAACATAGATATTCTAGATATTTTAGTAAATCCTAACTTTGTAATCTAAGGTCTGAGGTCTATAAAACTAGCGTATTTGCATTAAAGACAATTAGTTCAGGAACGTTTTTACATCTGAATATGTTCATATCACATCTTGAAATGTTAGTTTTAAATATAATATCTTAACATATTCCTATAACATTTACATATCTTGCGTACTGTATTCCTTACTGACGTTAATTTTTCATTCATTGCATTTTTGTCTAAATATTTTCATTACATAAATCCATGTGCAGTTCAATCTAATTTAGAAATATGATCTAAATAAGGTTCAAAGATCTATGACCAATCTGACCAAATTTCAGACATGTTCATGAATGGTCGTCAACATCGTAAAACACAAAGCCCTGAATCAATGAGCATTTTTGGCAACTATTACAAACTCACATTTTCAGGGTTTGTTTTTACTACTCCACTTGCTTTTAATACAAGGACCTAATGTCCCGTGTCCTTGTTTTAATCTTAAAGTCCTTTTTTCAATCAAGTTATAACTTCATCTGATATTTATTTCTTTATATTTAATCATTTCATAAAGCTATCTCAATAGTATTTCATTTTTCTTTCAATTCAACGTTGTTGCTGCCATAATTTCCCGTCACTGTGTATTTTCAACGTCATGATCATAATGTTCCGCCACTTTATGCATTCAACTGATTATATAGTAATATATAAAGCTTTAATTTTCCTTAACACATTGCATTGATTTAAATTTGTTATCTTAATATTATTTATAATCTTGTGGTATTTATTTTGATAATGTAAACACTTTTGGACAAATTTTTCTGTCCAAAATAATAAAGTGCATTACTTCTACTCTGAAATGCATGAAAATAAGAATATGCCTTAAATTATAAAACAAGTTAATTGTTTGTTATACTATACTTTCAATATTACTTTTACCGGTTCATGTTAAAGTTCAAGTTGTACCTTTTTAGCAAAAATCTCGATTTCGTCCATGTTATATATCAAAAAATGTTTTGAAATGCTGGCCCAATTTTTCTTTTGTATGAAATACTCATGAAAATTTTATTGAGTGTTTATATGAACGAAACGTACCGTCTCTGTTTTTTACATGAGTTGTTTATACGTATGTGTAAGCAGAACTTATCTTTACAAGCTCCAAAGATGAGAGATTTGCACTCATATATTTACTATAAATAACTTACCGAAATATAACACAATTACCAAACGTAAACACATCAGGCGTTTCCAATTGAAAACTAATTTATTACTAACACTCACTTAATTTTAGTCTAACAGCTTCGTACCTGTCCTTTCTGTGTTTTGTTTTCTCTAATTTATTGTTCGCTCTTACAGTTTGTATTGCGTTTGTCTATATTCAAGATGTAACATACGTTATGACGTAAATAAACGTATCTATCATGCGGACTCTGACGTCTGAGTTCTCTCCAAATATTTATCTAATTCTTAATGGACCATCATTCTTGTTCGTGTTTTCTTCTTCTTTTATTCTGCATGTTACTCTCCGATGTTAATTTTAGTTAAACAATAATTTCTTGACATCAAAAGAATTTGAATCGGATGTTAACCATCTTTTTTTCTGTACCTATGTCACTTTTCACAATTTATATATTAGTTAAAAATCTATTACTTGGCATTTAAGACATTTGAATTGGACTTGATCAAATAACCTTTAATAGAGACACCGCATAGAAACTTTCAATTGTAATATATTCGTTAAGAGAATAAATGGCGAGCAACCAACGAAATCAGCAACAAATCTACAAATATACAAAAAGTACAGCACCTCAGTTACAAATAAAAAGAACAGTATTATAGAATATAAAGAGTAGACTAGTAAGAATTAATAAAAAAAATAGTCAAATCAGCAATTTTGTTTCTCATTTCAGTCGATGAAGTAGAAAGAACTGTAACAATACAGCTAGATGGAGAAGAATTTACCATGGAATTTATTGACGTACTCCCATGGGATGTAAGTTAATGTTATCTACAAATATTTATCTATAATAAATAAAAGATAGTATGAAATGAGCCACGCAACGACAAAACCAACATTGTGCGTTTGTGACCAGCATGGATCAAGACCAGCCTGTGCATCTGCACAGTCTGATCATGAACCATGCTGTTCGCTTACAAACCCTATTACAAACAAAGAATCTGATAGCGAAAATCATGGATCCTGATCAGACTGCGCAGATGCACAGGCTGGTCTGGATCCATGCTGGTCGCAAACGCACTATGTTAGGTTTGTCATGGCGCAGATCAAATGTAAGTTATTATATAACTATTAGAATTAAGAACAGAACACCAAGAATACAAAACTAACCTAAGGAAATAGATTAAATCATTTGTGAGGCATATTTTGAGGCCTAATGGGCCTTTGAAACCATTATGAAATTGCATTGCGTTATTGTATTTGAAAAATATATTTTGATTACAAAACAAATTGCTTAGACTTCGATAAAGCAACGTTAAATGTGTAAAGTGAAGATAAAGATGGAACAGAACATTTTATAATTGATTTCTTAATGCCACGCCATAGCAATGACATTATTTTATAAACTAAATGTATCTTTTCAACGGCACTATAGGATACAACAGATCACGAGATAGAAGTAACAGCTGATGCCTACGTTGTGATATATTCCGTCATAGACAGAGTAACGTTCGACGCTGCTGTACAGAGTTTATACAAGTTACGACACGGCCTGGGTACAGACAGACCTATTGTTCTCGTGGGCAATAAAATTGACCTGGTTAGAAAACGAAAAGTTAAAAAAGATGGTAGGTTTTATGTTTTACTTGTATTTATTGTTAAACGTCATGTTGATAGTCAATAAATTTTAAAACCTTGAAGACTTGTTAAAGAATGATTATAGAAGTCTGCTATCACTATTACAATGCTTACGTCGAATAATTAAATAAAATGTAGAATATGACGACAGGTGCCCTTCGTGCACGACCGGGCACGTGTAAAGAACCACAAGTTTTTCTTACGCTAGCTGAAAATGTCCTACACATGAAAGAATCGATGGCCTTTACCATTACCGGGGTTCAGACAAACCAAGTCTGCAATTTTCATGAAATTTTGTTGTGATAAGTGTTTCGGGGGAATAACTAACCCTTTAGTAGTGAGACGCTTGAATCTTATTAATTACATTTAGAAATTTTTGAAAGTACTTCGCCTTTTCCACGATAGATATAATTGAAAATGAAACATTATATTTACTTTATACAGATGTGAGATCTATATCCCGTACATATGACTGCCTTCCGTTTGAAACATCAGCCGCCTTAAATCACCATATCGATGAGCTACTTATCGCCATCTTAAAACAGATACGTCACAAGTTAAACCCTGACCTTCATCCTTCACCAGACGATTACACGGAACCGGAAATGAGAAGACGTGATAAGCAAGGTCCTGTAGGATTTCTGGGAAAACTGCAGACTTAGCAGAAAAGGACGACCTAAAAAATAACATGTTTTTTTTTCTTTCTTTTAATCTTAATTTGAAAGATACACCCATCTGCATATTTTTCATGACGGAACTTATGTTGTTTGATATTGCAAATGCAGTGTTTGTGTCCGCCCTCAAGCACACGTGTTTACCACGTATTCTCACGTGTTTACCACGTGTTCTGTCAATTCAATTGATTCCTGTAAAATTATAACTACAAGTAGTAAAATAATTTTTCCACCTCTTTTTGATGTTTTTTAATTTGTTCTTTTCTCTTTTTTTTTCTTTAGACTTTTCTTTTGCATTTCCGTCAGTTCTTTTGTAGGAATCTCCAAAACATTATATTTCATTTAAATTTCTTTTATTTATTGATATTTAATGTTCATCATCTAAAGTGCTTTAAAATAAGAAACTGCATATATGTAACTTGTATCAATAATTAAATTTGTATCTTTTTCAATTTTTTAAGTAATTGCTTTTTTTCTTGTCTTGCCCTTTATATGTCATTTTTTATGTTGATATTATACACGCACATCATTGTCCAGCAAGGAAATAATAAAGAAATATGTACATTATCACATTATTTCATGTTAAAGTGGATTGGTCTATTATGGGCACATTTTAGTATTTCAAACACTGAATAAAACAAAAAAGAAATGTGTAATTTAGATATCCTTATAAAATATCTTTTGGGAAAACCAATATTGATAGAGTTCCAGATGATTTAGTTTGACCATTTGTATGATGAAAAATAATATTTTGTTCTAGAACAATACATTTTCTGCATATGTGTATAAATATGCATGGGATCATGTATCTCACACATAATGTGTTCGGGTTTTGTCGTCACGTATGAAACTAAATATTTTCAACATTATTATATATGATGTTACTGACCGTCCATTATGGATCAAATTACTTTAAAGTAAATGTATGTATGCTTTTAGGTTTTTACATGATGAATTTGGAGGACTTTTGAAATATCCACACGACAGTCACTTATGTTACAGGAGTCTTGCAAAGTAAATACAAAGATATACACAATTAAGATATTTGCAACTTTATGTAATATTATAATTAATCTACACCTCAAGTAAAGACTCTTTATTTAGAATGTAAAAGTGTCTTTTATTTGTATTCATTATTATGATTATATGCCATTAAAGATGACATTGTCCTTTTTAACATACGAACACTCATTTAATGAATCATTTCTTGCGAAGTGTGTCATACACTGTTCAATTTATATAAAGCATATCCCTAATCATCTAATAACAAACAATCAGTTCTTGCAATGAGTTCTCCCGAGTTTGAAATGAGAATTAATATTACTTCAATACAATTATGGTCGTAACGATTTTTTATTCAATAATCCTACAACGTTCTGTGCCATGGGAGTATGAAATTAAATTTAAATTAAATTTTGAGATTGCATATTTGATTAAAAGAAATTATAAATGATATTAATCGAATATATTGGTGTTGTTTTCTGTTTTAACCATAGAAAATTTAGTTTCCTGGTTTAAATTTAACAATGTCAGCAGACATGTCGGCATTTCTTTTCAAAAGGTTGGTAAAAAAGGAGATGATTCTACGTCTATGGACATATGTTCATAGATATAAAACAAGCATACGTCAGTGGACCTTATTCTCACCGGAAAAGCACATCTTAAAACAAAAATGCAATATTCTAATTAGTCACCATGCACGGTGTTATCTTGTCTTTATGATAAAACAGTTGGTTCATGTCATAAAGTCTTCCGTCGATGTACTTTTGCATATTGTCATTAGCTCACTTAAAGGATAGGTGCGTCCGTGGCCGAGTGGTTAAGGTCGTTGACTTCAAACCACTTGCCCCTCACCGCTGTGGGTTCGAGTCCCGACAGGGACTTTGGATTCTTTCATGTGAGGAAGCTATCCAGCTAGCTTACGGAACGTCGGTGGTTCTACTCAGGTGCCCGTTCGTGCCTGAAATAATGCACGTAAGGGCACCTGAGGTCTTCCTCCACCAGTAAAGCTGGAACGTCGCGATATGACCTATACTGTGTCGATGTGACGTAAAACCCCCCAAAAAAAAATAAAAAAATTTAAAGGATGGTCTGACCCTTTTTGGTATAAGATATGAAAACCAAGATCAACAAGGAAAGGTGGCATACCCCTGGCGCATCCCCTACACGACCCAGCAACACAGGCTATCGAGTTATTTCTGCATTGTAAAATATCTACACATCATTCCAAAAAGAACAGAAAATTAACAGTATATTCATGTGACGGAGGAAATCTTAATTAATTACGTCAGTATCAAAGTACAGTCCCCACAAATTATTCATCCATATGGCATTGCAAACACATTCAACTGGTCAATTTTTAGCAATAGTAGTAGTATTAACCCAAATGAAATACAATATGAAACAAGTGTCGTTCTAAATAAAATACTATCTAGCCAGTGAGTACCGTGTAGAAAGAAAGATGGCAAAATAAAAGCAAACGGACGAATCATGTTATCTTTAAGAACACAATAAACATAATAAAAAGTTCCTTTAAAAGTATATTTTTTATGTTGCTGTTTAAACAGAAAGAGTCCATAAAGTGACATTATGCTCATTTATTTACTGTCGAGTTGAGTTGAATTAGCTATATATTTTAAAAGACTATTTTCACAGCGATTAAGCAATAATTGATAATGAAAAATGTTAATGATACAATATGAAAACGACCTTAATCATAAAAAGACTGCTGCAGTCTTTTTAAGAACTAAACGTGATATCGATACATTCTGAAAGATATTTATAAAAATAACTCTCTTTTAACACTGCAATAATAAAAGTGAACACAGTTATAGCAAAATGTCAAGTTATATTGATGACCTTTACCTATTCACTAACCATTTGCACTTGGATGGGCATAATGTCACTTTTATATAACCAACTTTTATATCATTACTTATCCGACAACAGAAAAAAAGAGTATGAACAAATCCATTTATTACAAGGGCAGTTTTTGTTATCGACTAGTTTGATACAGATTCCAATGACAATATCTGACAATATCTATTCTGAAAAAAACCCAAACATTTGAAGTTTGAAAACATGTGATGTACAGACATACGGTACATTCCTCTTAATTTTCAAGGAGACAATCTATGCTTAAACTTATTATATTTACTTTTTACAATGACAGATGTAATTTTGTAAATGAATTATTCACGGAGAGGAATAATTCAAAATTATGAAATGTTAGAGAAGACTCCAAGATTACAAGTGCAAACAGAAAAGAAAACTAATTGCCGATAAATTGTATCTATTTTTTCACATATAACTAATCAAAACACAATTAATAATCCAAGCAACGTTAATGTTGTTTTCGTAAATAATTTATCAGAAATATATCAAGCATTTCCTTTCGGTATATAAATCCGCCTACTTTCTGGTGTGATAAAAGCACCACGCCTCAAGATTTCTGTAAACTTTAGTAAGAATGTTTGCAGACTCAGTTTGATTGAGTCTGTTCATGAGGGATAATGAATACGTGCAACATTCCCCACGACCCCTAGCACCGGCTTGAGCGGTATTCAATTCTCAACACTTAATAGTGCTGGCATCAATGATCCCGAAGGACCAGGAAAATATAACAACACTGAAGTGAAGTACGGGGAAACTTTTTACAGCTGCCACACAGCACTTGACCCATGCTCTTGTGAAGTATAAAAATCTGGAAACAAAGTGATCCCTTGGAAGCATTAATCACAACAAAATTACAAAAGAAGGTATTCAATTCTCAACACTTAATAAGGCTGGCATCAATGATCCCGAAGGACAAGAAAAATATAACAACACTGAAATGAAGTACAACATCACCTAACATATACCCATTGAGACATATCAACCGCTAATTATTATCATATGTTCTTTCATTAGTTAGAAATTTCTTTCATTTGGTAAACGAAGTTTTGATTATATTTCATCCATTTACATAAAATAAAGAACCTTTTTATGATAGTTCTGCCATACGTCAAATGAGAAAGGCGTTAACTGTGTTACGAAGATAAATGTGATTAAGATATATTTTGTATTGAGATTCTTGCTGATGTTTTTATTTTCTACTCTAAATAACCATGCAATAATGTTGAATATTCAAACATTCTTCGGTATATAGTATCTAAAAATAACAAACAATCACGTTTAATGCTCCTTTACTGAAATTAAAGATTTAAAGTCACCTCCTTCATGACTCTGATCCACATGCACTAAGAACAATCAGTTTAGTTTACCACTACATATACATCTCTAAAAATTCCCATTTGATTTAACCTGGTTTATTATATTGCAATAAATTCAATCGGGCCGGACGGCTTGCTGCATAGTATTTAGAAGTCTAATAGAATCTAGTCTAGTGTCTTTATTGAAGTCGTACCAATCATCCCTCTTATGCATTTGCGAACAAAGTTTAAACCTATATTTCACAGTTTGTTGTTATCGTCGATGTTTTCCGTCTGATATGAACGATGATCTGGAACATTTCTTTTTCTGAGAGTATCGCATCATCAAATGTCTATTCATTTTACTCTGTGCATGTTTAATACCATACTAACAGATTTAAACAGTGCATAGAGGTCTTAATTAATAAAATGATATGATTTATCGGGGAAAAATCACAAATTTAGTTATTGCGAACATGTTTCATTATAATCTTAATATACAAATGAAAACACAAAATGGTGATATCGTTTAATGTTAAAGTAGAAGTTGAACAGTGCATAAAGGTCTGGAGAAAGAAAACTACAACACAAATTTATTTTGAAAAAGCATTGGTATTACATGTACTTACAAAAACAATACTTTTTTTACATAATATAATACAGAAGGAGGCATTCATAGAAACGTCTATTAACTTGGCGGGGATGGTGAGATGAAGATAAGGGTATACATCTGTAATATTCTAAGAAAGCTAGTTGAGACAATCATTTATTTTGGACTCCATTATATAGATAAAACGATTTCGAGGATAGTTTGAAATTTTAAGCGGCCGTTCTTAAAAGTTATATCTTCATACCAAAGCGTTATAGGAAGCGGACTCGGAAGTGATTAGAATAAGTTGCAAAAACCTGTTTCGCAATCGAATAAAAATAATTATGTTTAAACTTATTCAAAAGGTATTGTCAGTATATATAACGAATGCATTTG